GGCACATTCTTCTACTTAAAACTTCATCTGTCATGTTGCACATCAATTTTGGCTCAGACTGCACCCTACAAACTAATGGAGTAAGTTTTTGGTATTCCATGCAGCCAAGTGTTTGGTTTTACACAAGGTCTTGTTTCCAAAGGGCTGAAACACTTTCCACCCCCCCCCCCCTCCACTCCCCAGCAGGTATTTTAATGGGGAACTTAATATGTCATTGGTGGTAAAAAGCTGTTTTCAAACTATGTACCTTATAATGAGTTGCAATTGTAACAATTTACTGTTACTGTTTTTCACACAAGCAGCACAGTACAAGGCACTCTGCAGTCACTGAATCCTTCTTCTCCTATAGGAGTTTATGCAAGCCCTCTTGAGTAAATCCTTGGTCCCTCTTCTGTCACTGTGAGCCAGGCAGAAAAGCCACATTGCCAGAACTCTAGTTTGCTTGGGGACATACTACCCTCATGAAGGCACTCCACAGATACGTGAGGCTGGCCTGGAGCATCCGTTTAAGAACTGTAGGTCACTGAAGCAGGGAAGGAGCTGTGCTAGGCTTGTCTGTGGTGTTTGTTGACACCTGGGCATTGAAAGGGCCCTCTGCTTCAGTATGTTGGGACTTTCACTGGCTCCCAAAACATTTCAGGTTGGGGAGGATGAGAAATAGCTTTATATTTTTATTAGGTTTTGAGAAAAAGAAACCTACCAGAACAGTTATTCCTGTATGTGTTCTCATAATGTTTACTGTAATGTTATTGCATACTTATGCTGCCTAGTTACTTCTAAAAATAACAAACTTATTTTATTTTTAAGGCAACAGGCTATACAGAACCCTGTGCAAAAGTGAAAATAATCTCCTGTAGTGTCCCACCTATTGTTACAATATAATTTTCCAACACAATTCCTAAAATGGTCAGTCTTGTCAGAACTTCTGTAGCTTTGTCTGCGTAAAAGGCTGCTACAGGCACTAAGCAGCTAAAACAGTTCATGCAGTTATCACTGCTCTGACACAGCACCGAAATCCAAAAAGTAAGAACAGCAGTGCTTATCTGGTAACAGGTTGTTAAATTGCTTAGTCTTCAGGCTATAAAGATAAAATCTCAGCCTTCTTTAGCTGATGTACTGTCCAATTAGGACAAACAGTGAAAGTATTAGTTCATACTCCTGTCTGAATTATCACAAGGAGAGTTAGACTTGAATTAGGTTTGGATCCACACATCACTGATTAGATTTATTAATCATCATAATAACTTTCACTGAAAACAGTGGTCTTAAATAATTTGCATTAGACTAGCTGTTTTTTTATTTAGCTCAGTCTCTGAAGAAACACAGGCTGTGTAAATTTTTCAGCAATGAACATTTTGCCCAAATCACTAGTACACCTAAATCAGCTTACCACGATACAAATGTTTTTCCTTTTTAAGAGCAAGTCTGTACAATATGCCGCCTCTCTTCTATAATTAGCACAAAAATTTGGAAATTGCAGTAACACTTTCTCTGTATCTCTACAAGAAAGACAATGACCTAAAAAGGGAAGAAAGGCTAGTCTAGGAAGGAGCAGAGCTAATCCAAACATCACCCACAACTGGCCATCAGGGGCACTCCCCTACCTTCCCTCCCTCCCTTCTCCAACCAGACCCTTTCAGTATCTGTTTTGGTTTTGTTTTTCAAACTCTGTCTTCACTACACATTTCCCTACTTGGAAATACTATCATTTGAAATCATTGTACAGCAACAACAGATAAAGCTGTGCCAAGCAGCAAACTGGCCCATGGTGTTAAGAAGGTTTGTCATCAGTAAAGAACATGTACTCCACAGACATAGGCTACCCCACCATGGAAGTATTAAGTTCACTGGTCATTTCAGTTGTATTCATGCTGTTCTGTTTGCTATTGCTATACCTAGTAGGCACTTTCCAAATAACAAATTACGAAGAAAAATATGACCTTCCACTAGGAAAGCTGAATTGTGGACTCCTGCATACTGTTTAACTTCTTAATTAGGATTTTTGTTATAATTTCAGCCAGCAATATTTTGTCCAAGTTTCCTGAATGTAACAAATAATTCAAAACTCTTGAGTTTACAAAAATACCATAGCAATTTTATGGCAGGAAGAGACAGTATTACAGGGGCTTCTGTAGCATATGAAAGCCATAACCATATCTTTCCTGACTGGTCAATCATCCACAGCAATGAGATTTGTATGAATGCAGATCTCACCATTAGCATTTCAGTAGGGCCCTATGCAGAAAGTTAGATTTGTGATTCTACAGAAGTTTAGTGCACAGTAATAGAAAATGCCTTTAAGCATGTTTTATGTGTACATAAATATAATCACAGCTCCAATTTTTGTACATTCAAAGTTTTCTTTAGAACCCTGTTATCTACAGCAATAAAGCAGAAAGTGAAGATGTAACTGTAGATGTTAAGTTGGTACACAGCCTCAGTGATTACTCCTGTGAAATCTCCACTGCCTGTACACAATTTGGGTAATACGCCAGACATAAAGGCTAATTATCTGGAAATTACATAAGGCTGAACTTCTCAGTACAAATCGGGAGAAATCCCACAAAGCAATTGATTGTTGCAGAGATGCTAATGCTATGGAAAAATAATCTTTTTTTTTCATACAGTTCCTCCTATATAGTCAGAGACATAGTCAGCATTGACAAATAGCTGTAAGGTACCAGGGCCAATAAATTGAAGGCTTTAAAATATATCTGGCACTAAGCATCAGTGCATCATTTACTTACATTTGTGATGAATTGAGGCTTTCACTCCAAAGATGCTGTAGGTTAAGTACACTGCTAGACCCTAAACAGCTGTCAAGGATACAAAGGCACAATGTTTATTATTAGTTCAGTCCTACCACTAAGATGGTAGCTTGTTTCTTCCCACAGGAATGAACAGTTAACAGTAAGTTTCTGGAACAGTTAAAAAGCAGCTTGACTTTGGGCCCCTTTGTGCTAGATGTTTTTGATGGGACCTGGAAGGCTTGCCAAGTTGTAAGCAGGACTTAACAGAGGAAAAAACTTAGAAAAGGAAACGGTTGTATTTAATTTTGTGGCTGTAAAAGATGACTGGATTCTAGGGAAGGCTTTTAGGTTTTAGATTTTTGTTGAGGACTGCAGGGGAAGAGCGGAGCACTGGTATGGCAGTACTAGGATAAGGAGTCATTTTGGCAGAGGAAACTAGCCCAGACCTTATGGTAATTACAGCTCACCAGTCTCAGATGTAATGATAATCCATTTTATCCTGTCTACAGCTCATGGTCCACTATTTGATCAATAAACATTGCTCTTCTATTCCCATTACCCCCCAGCCATGGGAATTCTGAATCCTAAACTAATCTCTAGTTCTAGTTTTTATCCCAGTTTTGCAGAATTCAGAATTAAATCCAGTTTTTCAGTCTTTCTTGTTTGATCTCTTGATGCTAACCCTAATCTGAACTAGGGGTTTTGAGGAAAGAGCAGGAAGTCAAGCTTGTCAGTTTCTGTCATCTTTAACTGTAACCAGCACCCAAGATTGGCAGGCACAAAATGGCTTAAGGTAGAACCTGGAATAGAATTTGAATTATTTATAAAGCTAGTATTTGGCACAGGAGAGTCTAAAGAACAATTTTTTATATCATTCTGCACAGCTTACAGGTCTAAAATGAGGACTTGGTAAAAAAAAAGGCACAAAGAAGTTAAGGTTTGTCTAAAGGTACATATGTTGCTGGGTTTATTTTACATTGAGGCTTAGCAACAGCCAGGAACTAAGTTGTCAATCAGATGTATTATTGGATCCTAAAGTTTCTTAGCAGGGACTATGACTGGAAAGAACAGAAGCATATGGTTTTATCTAGACACAATATGCTGGGGTGCTTTTATTGCTACTGGCAAGCTTGAACTGTGGGATAAAACCCCATAGTTCATAGTTATATTCTGTGTTGCCCATAATACTAAAACTAAGGTGTATGGTAAAGGGGTAGAAAGACAATTCTAAACAGGTTATCTGTAACTCAACTGTCAGGTTATGGAAAAGGGAAGACAAAAATGTAATGTTCTGTTCCACAAGGACAGCAGTGCTACAGTGAGGACTGGTACTAGCAGAAATGCATGGAGCACAGCCAGAATTCCCTTAGCTTTGGTGGTGTCTGAACAAGCAGTGGTGTATCGGTCACACAAGTTCAATGTGGATCACTGAAAATGAGCTAAAGCACTCTTAGAAATAAATTTGGCAGTACATACACTTCAGTGTCATCACCCCTGAATGCAGGAAACAAGCAGCTGTCATTTGAGGCAGGGTTTCTTTCGACGCATTGAAAGGCCTTCATCCTGTTCATACAACTTGACCTGAAGTTACCACTCCTCTGTTTCTGTCCTTAAGACGTTCGTGAAATGGGTGTATTCACACAGCAATGGACCTATCAATGGCTGGATTGCATCCTCTTTTCTCAGTCATTCTTTGCAAGCCCTTAATATTGCTACAAGTAGCAGCTGCCAGATTACAGACAGAAGGGCAAAACAGAGTACTTGGGAGCTGAAGAGTTCTTTAAAAATCTTTCTAACCTCCCCAGCATTTCACGTTTCCTATCTCACAACTGTCTTCCCCGCCTGTCGAGAAGATACAAACATCCTGCATACCTCAGCGTTACTTGAGGCTAAACCTTGTTTGTAACGTTGCACATATGGTGGTTACTTAATGACATTTGCTGTGCTAAATTAAGTCTGGGCTCCCTAGAGTAACTGCAGTAGCTTCATCTAACGAAGCGTAACACATACAAACGCCCGTATACACAACGTGCATCCACTTGCAACCTGGAATCCCAGCGTACTCGCAAAGGTAATCCTCCACTCCAGTCCCAACTTTAGGACCCTAGCCGGGGTAGGTATCGCTTTAACTCCCGAAAGTGTTTTGGTAAGGAAGTCCCCTCTGCTACGTGCGGGCACACAGGAAAACCCCTGAAGGACACAACGCGACCCTCGGCCCCGCCCGGCCGCCGCAGCCCTCCGCCCCCCCAACCGGCGCCCTGGCTCCTCCCGGAAGTGCGGGCCCGACAGGCCCCCCTAGCGGCGGCGCGCCCCAACGGAAGAGGCTCCGGTTAGACGGGGTCCGCTGCCCGCCATGCTCTTTCGTTTTGGTGTGGTGCTGCCGGCGCGGATGACGGAGGGCGGAGGCGTGCTCCTGGTGGCCGGCTCCCGGCCGGAGCTGGGACACTGGGATCCGCAGCGCGCTGTGCCCATGAAGCCGGCGCGGCCGACAGCTCCACTGGCCGGCCAGGAGCCGGCGCTGTGGCTGGCAGAGGTGGTGCTGCCGGACCAGGACGCTTCTGACCCCTTCTGGTACAAGTTCCTGCGGCGCCAAGGCGGAGACCTCATCTGGGAAGGTAAAGACGGGCACTCGGGACGGGAGGAAGTGCTTGTGGGTCCCGGTGGCTGGGCGGTGCTACCGCCTTTGTCCCGCCCAGGGGAGGGGTTTGGGCCGGCGGGCTGAGACAGGGGCGCGCGGTTGTAGCCCTCGCGTCGCAGGGCGGGGGTCGGCCCGAAGGGGCTGCTCTGCGGGGCTGGGCGGTAGGCTCCAGCAGCGCCGCCTTGTGCCCGGCGTCCCAGAGCATCGCCCAGGGGCCGGGAGCGGTGTCCCGGGCAAGCAGGCCGTACTCTGTGCCTCCGGCTGTCGGCGGAGGCGGATGGCCTAAAGCCTGTCTGCAGGTAGAACCTCCTAGCCTATCGTGACATGACATGTCGCTAATAAAACCGTTTTTAACGATGTGATGTGGGAGAGTGAATGCAGAAGGCAGCTGCTGTTCTAAGTTAGTTAAAAGGTCTTGATAAACGGTTTCATTATCTTTTCGTTACTTATAGGCACCCGTTGTCAGGATGAAGTTTTGGTTCTTTTTTCTCTTTCTTTTCCCCACAAGTAAAGGTGTTGGAAGTGCCTACTTCGTGCATCAAGGTGTAACTTTACTTCAGTAAGCTGAAATGTGCTGATGGCATTTTCAGGCTGGTTAATTTTGCCATTGGAATTGATAAAAAAGAGAAAAGGGTGAAGTTCCAGCCTTTGTGCTGTTTCAGTAGTACTTCCACGGAGATTTTCTCCTGTTCTGTGTTGTCAAATATTGACTAGCTTTAGTCAGTTTCCATGTGCTGTTCTGGTGTATTTAAGTATGATAAATAAAAGAGAACATGCATATAATTGAATGCTGAGTCAAAGCACTAAATACACCTCTTGTCACTGAGGAATGGATCTAACTCAGTGAAAGGAAGACTGATGACTAGATAATTTGTGTTTTTTTTAACTTACAAAATAGTTTTATAATCCATATACCAGAATGAAAAATTGTAGAGCAGTTCCTCTTCAGCTCTTTTTTAGGAATATATATCACACTTTTAAAGTGCCATTCTGTTACACAGACTAAACCATGCATGTCGCCTTGACTGTTCCATTTGTTTTTTCTTCTCTATACTAATAAAAGATAGCATTAATAGTGCATTCACAGAGGTTTACATCATGAAGTACTGTTTACGCCATGAATTAATAACTGTTTTATTTAGCAGCTAAAATAAATAGTGTATTCTGCCTGCTTTAACCATGTTTTTCTTTTGCAGAAATGCAGGAAAAGTGAATTTATGGAATAGAAATCTTTACATCTTTCCAAGGAAGCAGAATTGGGTCTCTTTTGAAGGTGCTGTTGTACATAACATGCCAGTGATACTGGTATATAAAAGAGGTCCTCACCACAGAGAATATAGAATTAATAATAGAGTGTTCCAGTCTGTAGGGAATCTGCAATTGTAAGGTGATGGTTACTGTATAGTTTGGAAACAATGATACCTCAAGGTATTGTCCATACCTGGGACTGCATTTTGTGAATGTAGTCTGAATAATAAACATACTCTGTTTTGGTAGTAGTCCTATTGCTGCAGCTTTAGGATTAACCTCTGTGGAATTTTGTTCCTGCCATGGTGAATGCTTTACAGTTTGAGCTTACTTAGCTACAGTGATGGAACACAAATGGGTGTATCATTCAGATGCAGAGGCGGTTTTTAATTAGTCATTCATGTCAGCTATTGTTTTCTAATTTTTTTTTTATTTACAGGAAAGAACTAAATTGACTTAAACAGTGAAATTTGTTGTTCTTCATGTATTATATGAAGGGAGCATAAGAAGGTTTTTCTGTGCAATAAACAGTATCTTGCAGTCCTTTTTTATGTTATTTTAATGATTTTTTTCAATTATTTTTTCAACTGTGGATCAATAAGAGTTTTGTCTGTCATCTGTTTATTCTTGTAAAACTCACAGTTTGCAAAGGCAGTTGCCCTTTCTAAAATAAGAAAACATTTTGGTGATATGCAAATGCTGTGCTTTGACTTTTTAGTATCCTATGTGTTTAGAATTAAGATGTGCTTTGGGAGACATACAGCAGTTATGGAACATCTGCAGTTTTGAAGACATGGTTGTGAGGGGTAGAGGAAAATGCAGAACAATATTTGCTCTGAGTTTAGGAGTGGAGGCACTCATCTGTAACCAGAGAAACTCCTGTCCAGTTATGGATGTCATATGTTTACTGATATGGGATGTTAAATAATGTGCCATGTTGAAGAAAATTACTCCGCAAGTTTTTTATTAGTATGCCTTGTGTGAGAATTCCACTACTAATGCATATGATTTTTATATTACTACAGTACATGTTGCATCATGTGTTTTGCGTATGAATTTAGTTTGTCCTTACAGCCATTCAAATGCAGTGGGGAAACTGAAACATGAAGTGAAGGTATTTGTTTCTATGGTCTAGAAGAGTCAAAGTCATGGGTCGGTGTTGTGTGGCTTTTGGGTTCTGTCAGGTGGTTTGGTAGGAACCTTCACGTGAGGCTTGGCCTGTGGGAGGGCTTTGTTGCTTGTGTCTGGAGGGAACTAGCTCTCTAGGAGGAGGGGGTGGGAGAGAAAACTCTTGTCCTTCTGAAGGGTCACGTACTTACTCTGCTGCCCCAGGTGACAGTGCCAGTCTTTGTCCAGAGCCTGTCACTTAACAGCCATTCGGCTCTTCTGTCTCAAATCACACAATTTCTGTATGGACTCTGGCCCAAGTGATGTTTCTTCAGGTTTGGTACTTTGCTTATCTGCTGTGAGTTAAGCTGAAAGGCCTGTTACCCAGGAGGGTTTTCAACTGCTACATATCTATGGAAAAACAGGTTATGTTGAACTTTAGAATCTGGGAATAGGTTTGCCCATTAGAAAAAAATAAATGAACATATATACCCTTTTTTTAGTGTGTGTTGTTTTGTTTGTTTTTTTTCCCCCTTCAACTACATCCCATGTATTTTTCTGTTTGCTTTGGTTTTGATCTAGATTCTTCAGAACTGGGTTTATTTCTCCCTTCCAGCATGGAAAGTAAAGGTATATTGTTCTTACTGTCAAAATGAAATAAACACAAGATGAAACTTATGTTTAAATTTGTTTTTGTGAGTTTGTTTGAATGCTTGTCAGTGCCTTTAATCCCCTTTAGTCCAGTATAAATAAACTGCAGGTACTATACAAGATTCATGTTCCATAAAAGAGCAGAAGAGTTACTAAGGGTATGCCATAAACTGTATTTTCAGATGCTGGAGTACAGTCTGTTGACTCCTCATGTTTTGTGAAGGGGTAAAATTATATATAAAATGCGAGCTGATATTCTAAAATACTGGTCCAGTTTTGCATAACCTAGTTTGATGAAGTTGGTGCTTGCTTGAAGCTAAACAGATGCTGTATAAAGATGAAAAACATGGTCAACCTACCTTGTAGTAGTTTGTACAGGTGAGCAGAGCCTTATGCTTTCCAAAAAACCCATAACTAGTTTTGGGTGGGGGAGGAGAAAAAAGAAGGTGTTTTGTTTGCACTTACCTGCTGCTGTGTTCTTGGGGGCCCAAAACAAACAGTACAACACAGTTTAGAAACAGCTAGGTTATGGAGCCTGTGGCTTGGTATCTTGGCTTTCCAACGTTTCCAGTTCATTCTCCTCTGAGTTCATTAGTTACATTTTAAGCCGTCTGTTGGACAACAAACACTTATGATGGTAGTTCAAAAGACTTTTACATTTATGGAGTAACAGCACTTTTAATGCTACTGCAATTAGTGAAAATATCCGAAGTAAAATTTGATCATGGCTTTCAAGGGCTGAGCACTTGATTGGCTGAAAACATCTGTGATAGTAAAATATTTCATTTTTGAAGTGGCGGTGTGTTGAAATGGAAATCAATATTGTTTCTTGGCCTCAATATGAAACTAAATGTGTATAATTCTTTGAAAGCTGTATGGGAAGTTAATACAATGGTGAGGTTGTAACAGAATAAAAACTTATCTGTGGCTAAGCCATTAGCAGAGAGTAAAAAAACCCTTTAAGGCTGTTCTGGAGAAGTACAGTTGGATGCAACATTATTTTTCTGTAACTGAGATACATCTCTTTTTCTTTCTTTCTCAAAGCTAATGTACAGGTACTCAAATTAGGCAGCAGTTCTCTTATTAAAAACAAGAAATTGAGAAAAGAACGTGAAGCAGATAACATTTCTTCATACCTCTGTTAGTGCAGGTATTTTATGTAGTGGTGTTCCCACTGGGTGTCGCCGTTTTACCTGCCTATAGCCAGTGAGAGCCTAGGATTTTGCAGCTACTTGGGCATTTCATCAGTATCCAGTGTAATCTGCTCTGCTTTTGAAAATAATAAAAAAATTGCTTTCCCCATCCTAGCCTTGTTCTGAAGTAGGTAGTGACTAGGAAGGAACATAAAGCACAGCTGGGTGTTGATAGCTGAATAATTGTGCATAATATGCATCTTGTCTGTAAGGCAGTTACTTTGTGGACAATACTAGATGTTTGACCCTTTGTGAGTGAGGAAACTTTGTGTGTAAAAGTGGATTAGTTTGAAATCTACTTCCCAATATGTCTGATGAGAGAAACTTTTGTTTACAAAGTGTAATAGGCCCTAGTGTTTTGTCCTTCAAGCCCCTCAAGACATATACTTATTGTGGATTATAGTATTAATTCGTAGCAAGTTTTCATTACTTTGTTTCTGTGTGTCAGCATTAACCAATTTATACTGAGCGGACTACTGAAGATCAATAAAGCAAGAGGGTTGCTCATGAAACTGCAAAATTAGAAGAATAAAAATAGGATACACCCATGCATTCCTCTGGATTTGGTAGGTGTGTGTCGTTTCCTACCCACAAGGATAATAGGGGGCCTGCTCTGCCTGCTGTGAGAGCCTAATTAGAGCACTTGTGGTTATAATGGTAAAGTTAAAATAAATGTATTATTTATTCAAAGACTTAATTTATTTACCATTGTTCCCATCCCCCACTTCACTCCCTGCCCTCACTTCCAAGTGACAGCAGCATGCAGTATGGGTTGAGA